AAGTGAAACTAGACAGGCTCACTCCTTGGATACACCTGTCCCGTGTAAAAGGTTGCCGCCCCGCCGCCGGCATTAAAAATGGGTGAGGCATTACCAACAAATACCTCGTCCAGCTGTGAGCCTCTGGAGGCTCTCCGCCTACCGTTCAAACGCAAATCGGTGACACTAGTCCCAATTCCTAGCTTAATGCGTGCCACCTGCTGGGCTGATGCCAGCCAGCTGAGGACCTTGCCTTCTTACCCACATCTTCTTACCAGCGCTCTGCCTCACTATACTTCCTGTTTGCTGTTGTCCCAGCGCGCTAATCCCTTCATTTCTCACCCTTGTTCTAGCTGCCCATGAGTTCCTGACTTGATGTCTTTTATGAAATTCTTCTTTCAGAATTAACTACAATCCCCGCCGAAGATCTTCTCTCTTTCTCTGCAACTCAGTTCAGGGATTTCATTTTTGATCTGTATCTTCAAGGCAGTTCAACCAATTTTACATCTGATGAGATTAATCTCTATTTAGAGTACTAAAAATGACACTCCTCTTTGTTCTGACTCTCCTCTGCACTTTACCTCTACTGTTACAGGAAACAGTTTCTTAGAATGGGCCTTCACATATGCTAGTACATTTAACTACTCTAACTGCTGGGTTTGTGGCCGACCTGGTGTCTGCATTCTCCGGGTTGCCATGGTGGGTTTCACCCCTACAAGGATCTGATTGGAAAGAGTTTTCCACACTTATTCGTCAATTGATATTTGCTATGAATGAAAACACAACTCGTCATGACCCCTTAAACCCTCCGCCCTGTAAAGATTTTGAATTCCTATGTGAAATTTCTAACTATGATCCATCAAAAATGGCCTATGGAAAACACCACTAATTTGCCAAGCCACAATTTTTCATTCTCTTGAACGGCCACAATTCAGGGAATGGATAAGTTACCTAAAATGCCACACCAGAGAAGGTCTGGAGATGTTCAAAGTCCTCATGAGTAGCTGAAGGCTTCAACCAACTATGGGATGGAGCTAACTGGTTAATGCCTAAATACGGCAGATTGAGCATAAAAACTCCCCAGTGTTGGGAACAAAAAAAATCATTCCTTGTCTCAGTGGCTAACTCCGCTCGACATCTGGGATGCATTCTTTTAAAATAGTGTGTTCATCGTATAACTTTATAGGCTACTGATTATCTGGCCACCAAATGGCAATTTAAACCGTGGCAATACAGACCCACCATATGGCCAGCCCCCAGTGGAACTCACTGGATCTGTGGCATTAACCTCTGGCCATGGTTGCCCCCAGGATGGATTGCTTGATGCACTTTGGGCTTCCCCTGGGCACAGGAACACAGATATTCCACCCTACAAAGTACAAAAATTGCAGATTTTCCTTTTATGCATGCCCGGTGGTCTCGATCTGTTTTTAAATGATACGATCACCTAATACATTTTTATTTTCCCTCCAGTGGTCCTGGAATATGTAATTCTGCATGTGGAAGCCTTAACAAAATCTATACAACAAGCACGAAATGATACCAGGGAAAGTATATTTTTGGTCAATACAGAAATGACCTTAATGAGGAGAACGATTTTGCAAAATCACATGGCTTTTGATATCCTCACAGCTTCCCAGGCAGGCACATGTACAATAATACATACTGAAAGCTGCCCCCATCTCCCTGGTGTGTGGTAATTTCACTTTGCTCCTCACTCAACTACAGAGTGACATAAGTACTCTAGGGGATAGCAATGCTCACAGCAAAGAGGTTAACAAACAATTTTCTGACATGCTCTAATAGTTTTTTTTGGATTCCAGAGGGAATAAGGTCCTTTTTCACAGGGATTTTAAAATTTCCCCTCTCCATCCTTTTCTTGAGATTGGCTATTTATCTTGTATGCATTTATTCTTTATGTTGTTCCCCTCTCTTATAAAAACAATTGTCTCTCTCTTTGAGGTCCAAGCTCCAAAGAAACAAAAACAGACGTCTCTCGCAAGCCAGAGATGCCATGGCCCTTACCAAAGGGATGCAGCCCTTGGATGTCAAAGGGGGTTATTTTCAGGCTGCCCCTTAGGCAGTCAGATTCTTGGGGAGGACCATCTTGGCCCCACACCCTGGACAGATTAGCACGATAGTTAGGGACAGCTTGACACTCATGTTCAGCAAGAAGTAGTTCCAGAAGAAAGAGACCTCCACCCATGTTCCAAAGATTGGTCACTGCCAATCTGTCAGGGGGAAATGTGGAGCCGGCTGGCTGGCGTTCTCTAAAGCCACTCTGAAGTCCATAAAACCCCCACTCCTGGGCTCTCCATGTGCCTGGGGCCCACTGGTACCCTTAACCCCCACCCCCCACTTCAGGACCCTCCACATACCTGCATTTCTGCAAGATGAAAACATCTCCCTTGACATGTGTTTATCTTAACAAAACTAACCACCCCCAGAAAATGGCCAGTCTCACAACACCCTAGGCAACAGGCCTCACGGCGCATCTGCCCTTATGAGAGCCGTAAAGTCCTTTCCTCAGAGTAGCCCCTGACAAGTCTTACAACCAATCAGGTAGCTGTGCACAAACTGATCATGCAGCCCACCCGCCCCTTGTGTTCACAGCCCCTTCCCCCAATAAAAGACCCTGCACCTTCACCCTCGGCGCTCACACCTCTCGTCTGTGTGGCCCACTGTTGCCTAGAGCAGCGTATCCATTAAACTCTCCTTTGTCTCTTAAACGTTCTATGTTTCTGATAAATTCTTTTACTGCCCTTGCACTGCCCGCCATGTCCCCCAACATAGTTGATTTACCATGTTGTATTAGTTTCAGGTATACGGCAAAGTGATTTTATATATATATATATATATATATATATATATATATATATATATATATACTACTACTATATTATTAGTTTAGTTTAGTTAGTTATTACTTACTTACTTAACGTTAGTTAAGTTTAAGTTTAATTAAATTAATTAAACTTA